TTCCATCGACCCCGTCTGTTTCAAGTTTACCTATTCTCCCAATGAGTTACTGTTTGTTGGTGGGCCGAACTTCAAAAAATAATAATTTTTGAATTCAGTCTAGTTGATCGTAGGTTGTTTAGATTCTAACGGTGGTACCATAGCTGCGCCTCTCCAAACATATGGAAGGTGGCTAGCCCCACCTTATCCTCTTCCGGCGTGTGTTGATTGATAAAAAAATTTATCGCCATGGGGTAACCCAGATAGGGGGTTCTTCGGAGCCGTGGAACATTGGAAAATTTAATTTGGTGTAGCGTGGAACGATCTAGTTACTTGTTGGATCATTTACATTATGTGTCTGACTACCGGGTTGAAGTGCTTGAGGTGGCTTGTCCCGTAGGTGGTTGCTGCTTATAGTCCTTTCTAACTCTGTTTGTTTGCCACAATTTAAGTTGACCAGTATTTCTTTGAATTGTGAGGATAACTCTTGCAATTGACTGCCCAATCGCCTTTCAATCTCTGCGCTCCGTGCCTTGTTTGCGGCCAAGGCTTCCTAAACATCAATTGCAGATCTTCTTTTGTTGCAGAGTCACCCGTAGTGTTAGCCTTTGATACCAATTTATTATGTCCTTGAAACCAGAATCTTGTCACCGGGTAGTTTACTGGATAATTTGGCTCTGGATCTTGCTTCTTATTCTTGTTATGAGTCCTTGAGCGATGTATTGTGAATTATTTCCAAACTTACCAAAGGGAGCTTGGCACCTTAAACCCCGTTAGAGAGAGTTCTGATCTCTGTATTGTAATTATAATTCTGCTTACCTCTTTATTAATTTTAGAACTCTTTAAATAGAAGTAGATACATTACATTATAGAAAACTTTTATTATTTAGGTTTCTCATAGCAAAAATAAAAAAGAATTCTAATTAAGAGATAAGTTTTGAAAATAAAAATTAAATTCCTAAATAAGAGGTAAATTTTCCTAAATAAGATATATGTTTCTAGAATAGGATAAAGTTTAACCGTATAATAAAATTAATTCCTAAATAAGAGATGAGCTTTCCTAACTAATAGATAGTTTTCTAAAATAAGATAAACCTAAACAATATTAGCTTCTTATTTGCCTTTTCTGTAATAAGAACGACCCACAAAAGAGTTTATAACAGATTGATATTCTCAATTCTATTAGATTACTATTTTCTAGTTTAATTCTACATAGAATTATAATAGATAGTTTTATAATTTCACTTATTCATTGAAGTATTTAATAATATTTTAGGAGTTTCTCAATTTTTTGGTTCTGTGATGCAATCAAACTCTTAAATATGATAATTAATACTTGTTAGTGATGTCTAAGAAACGTCGGGCTAGATTTTTTCCCCAATATCTTAGTAGGCAAATTAACCCTTATTTTCCTTACATCATTTTTGAATTGTGAAAGCACATGGAATGCATACGGAGAGTGTCTTTTGAGGTCTATGAGTTTTGGACCAAGTTATTAGTGTTGATTATGTTGAACCATGGTTCCTTGATGAGATCCTAGATTTATTTTCCCTTATCATTTCGTATTCTTGTATAGATTGTTGTCTATTGTGGAATGATTTATACATAGTAGAAATGATGTAATTTACTGTGGATGCATAGAAGAAGTTTTTTTGTCTCAAGATGAATTTTTTTGTGCTTATTTTGTTGTAGGCTTGTTTTAAAGGGTGATACCACTGAAGTAACTGCAAACGCGATTGGTTTGACAATGGAGAGTAATGGAATTCAAATTTTAGAGCCTTTTGATACCTATGTGAAGTATTCAAATGCATCAAGGAAGACCAACATACATCTCTCCATTTCAGAGATATTTATGAACTTCTCATTCAGAAGCTTGAGACTATTTTTAGCAGTTGAAGAGGATATTTTGGAATTTCTACGGATGACCTCCAAAAAAATGACAGTTGTCTGCTCACAGTTTGACAAAGTTGGTACAATAAGAAGTATGGATACAATCATTTCCTTGTTTCTGTGTAAAATCACTACTTTATTAATCAATGGTATAAAAACAATGTATTTGTAATTTGTAGTATTAACTTGGTGTCTCATTGCCGTTTGCAGACCCAGACACTGATCAAGTATATGCCTTCTGGAGACCTCATGCACCTCCTGGTTTTGCAGTTCTTGGCGACTATTTGACTCCGCTGTTAGTGAAAGCGGCAGGGTTACTTGTGATATTTATTTCTTTAATTTCTTTTATGTACTGATACAACTGATTTTTGCATCACAGGGACAAGCCGCCTACCAGAGGGGTTCTTGTGGTCAATACTAATGTTGTAAGAGTCAAGAGAGCTCTCTCCTTCCGACTAATTTGGCCACCATCCTCAGGTTCTGAGGGCATTTCAAATGAACCTGTGACTGTTTCTTCTTCTGAAAACGGTGACCTTGAAAATGAGTGTTCTGTTTGGTTCCCTGAAGCACCTAAAGGATATGTGGCATTAGGATGTGTTGTTTCCCAAGGAATAACACAACCATCACGATCATCTACTTTCTGCATCTTGGCTTCTTTGGTTTCTCCTTGTTCTCTCAGAGATTGTGTTACTATCAGCTCTAGAAATATGTATGTAGAACTGTCACTCCATTACTTTCGCAAGTTTGATATGCATGTGAGAACCTATGTCCCACTATGCAATGACTGATGAAGAGGACATGTGTATTCATACATGCATGAAAAAGTTGCCAACTCATGTTATGTGAAGTGTCATCCATCTCCTTTTATTAGGTCAATATTTCATTTTACATATATATACAAACACTAAAATTTATATGTTTACATAAAACATGCAAGGACATAAATATATATGAATGCACACATGCAAAAAGAATTGTATGAACTTGTATGTAAGAATATGCAACAGTGTTAATATTGTTTTTCTATTCTCTAACCCATGAAATATATCAAATACTCGGACATCAGGTTAGGTAAGACACTACATGGGTCAGTATTCAAAGTTATTATGATACTATCATAGTGACTTCCCTTGCCAAAAACAGCTAAATGGTTGCTCAGTGGCCCAAGGTTTCCTCTAATGTGCAATTAAGGGTCCAAATTTTTATTTGGTTTGATTGGTTCTCCAATATATGTAATTATGTGGAATTAAGATTCTCTAGTTACGTGGAATATGCTTAGTGTTTCATGTTTCTCCATGCATTTTTTCAAAAATCTTAGTAGTCAACGAAACTTCTTTTGGACAAGTCATTTGCCGGGTTTTGGTGGCTTTATATGGTGCTATCTGTAGTTTTATAGATTTGTTAAAAGCTCATTTATTGGATAAAAAGATATACTAGATAGATTTCATGTTGCGGATATCTTGATACTTTATCTCGTGTATCTGAGATTGTGTCTCTTTATATATTTATTTCCCTTGTAACTAATCATTTTTCTTTAATAGAAGGGGAAAAGTTATTGAAAGAAAAGAGAAAAGAATCACGAACTCGAATAATGAGACATACTCATCAAAAAAATCAAGAAATCATGGTAGTACAGAAATGGACTCATTCTATGGGATTAAGATGATCACACCGCAATCCTGATGTATCTCTGACATAACTATCAGAGTACTTCCTGTGTGCCTTGGGCCATAATGTGGCAAGAAATGTGACTCTCTCCCATAATTCTTAACTCTTGAAAGATTGTATAACAGGGCAACGAATACTACGGTTCCTTCCAAGCCATATAATCCATAAATGACATTGCACTAGTAAGGTGTCAAGTATGCTTTGTCGCATGAAGACTTTGGTAGAAGTGTATATGGAGAAATCTCCTAGGTTGTGTTGATCAGGAGTTAGACCTTGTTTGTTAATTAGGAAATCTGTGTATGGTTTAAGACAGTAGATTAGTTTGGTAGAATTTGTAAAATTGATTTTGGTCTTCAAATATCTATATTTTCTCTGGTTGTGTTAAAGAAGAAGTAAATTATGTAAAAGAGGAAGTATATTATGTAAAAGAAGAGGTAAACTAGGTTAAAGGATATAAGAGTAATTCAGCCCATTTCTGATTAAATTGTTTACTTTCTTTTTCTTCCCGCGAAATCTCTCCATATGGAGCTGTGATATTCAATAGAATATAGATAAAGCCATTCTAACATGATATCAGAGTTATGGGATAAAAATTTGTTCTTTTGTTTTTCAAACCCTCAGTTGCTCTTCATTGTCGGATAAACTAAATCCTCTACCCAGCCTTCACAGCTGGAATTCCTCCCAACCAATCTCTGATTTTTGTTCTTCTCACACAACTTCGCTTTGGTTTTCCCCCTTGTTCTGGTGTTTTGTGCTCTATGTGACCTGTTTTCACATTCTGTTTTGTTCTGTTTTGGCGCAGATACTACGTCTGTTTCACGTGCGTTATTTTAGTGTGCTCTGTTTCGTGCCTCACCCCTGCTTCAGCTACCTTTGTTTCTGGTGTCCTCCTCCAGCCACTGTTATGTTTTGACCCAGTTCCCTTGTAATTTGGTTCAGCTGCAAACACTCTGTGTGGCTGCATATCTCCTGTTCTGCACCACGCCTGTTTTGACCCTGCTTCGCTGTTTTTATCAAGCAGCCACCTCCTGCATGCAGCCACCAACTGTGCAGTCTCCATTTGTGTTTCAATTGGTTTTAGCTGTCGAAAATCAAATGATGTCAGAAGTAACAAGTTTGAACAGGTGATTGTTGTTAAAACTTAATTAGCTAGAAGTTAAGGTCTTTTTCATTCTTTTTTTTTTTTGGAACCAAGTTAGAATCTATTAAGAGACAGTAGAATGTAACCATAGATGCGTCACAGTCATCAAGAATTTCCCTTTCATCGTTGCTTATCAGTTTGCCCCTCATTCTCCATTTTTGTGTTTGGGGACAGCACAATTTTAAGAGATGGAATCTGTTATAAGCCATAACAGTGGAAGAGAGAGGATTTTATAATTCTGGAAAAAATTAATTTAAATTTAGTAATTCTAGAAATAATTAAATATATGTGTACTCATTTTTTTCTATCATGAGTTTGGGTACTTTTCATATTCAGAGATCGTTAGTTTTTCTTTTAATGAGCGTCCAAGTAAGTAAAGGAAGAAGTGGAAATAGCCTTTTATATCTACTAATTCTTGAGTTCATCATCTCATAACGAAAAATTGTTGGTCCATTACCTTTAGACATTTGGTAGGCATATGAATGCATATGCGCACACAAAATTCATATGATACATAGAAAAGGACGTAGATGCGCTTGTGTTGGTATATTTTATGTTATAAATTTTCCTATTAACTTGTGTATGTAGAAATTTCATGCCATCCCCTTTACTTGACTAATATGCATTTGCATGCCTGGATTGAACGATTTTGTATATTCACGTAAAAATACACAAGGGATTACATGGATGCATGCAAGTAGAGAAAATATGGGCTCATAAATGAGACATACATTAGCATGCATTCAGGTACCTGTGATTTTGCAACTCTCCAAACTAATAATCAAATCAGCCAGATCATAGAAGGTTGGGTTTCCTTAGCAAGCCACTGGTTGCACTAAAAATTTTAAGCCTATTATGAATGTTATCTTAGTTACATTGTTTGTATTTAAACTATATGTGTACTTTTTGGCATTTCTTTGATGCAAGCTTCCTTGATTGCCTGCTCTTTTGGTGTTAGAATGTTACATCTTTTTTTCATTTACAATGCAGATGTCCGTCAAGTTTGTTATTTTGGCGCGTGGATAACTGTGTTGGTACTTTCTTGTCAGTAGATCCCAGAAACTCTTGCTTACTTGGTAGAGCGTATGATTTGCGTCATATATTATTTGGGATTTCAGAAGTCACTCCCAAAATATCTAGGCAGTTGGATGTCCATGCTTCTCAATCTGGTGATGTTCAGACACTGAAGCCCGAAATACTATCTGCTGTTAATTCTGGTCCACGTTATGAAGCTGTAGCTAGTTTTCATTTAATATGGTGGAATAGGGGTTCAAGCTCAAGGAAGAAACTATCAATATGGCGTCCAGTAGTTCCTCATGGGATGGTGTTCTTTGGTGATGTTGCTATGAAAGGGTATGTGGTTCTCCTTTTTCTTTCTTCCTCAGGTAGCTTATTTGCCGAAGGCAGAAATTGAACCAGAACCGCCTGTGAGGGGGCCAGGTTATGACCATCTGGATTACAATGGTGGCTGAAAATACAAAAATGAAATATAAGGAAATGTATTATTAGAATGTTAACAATTAAGTTAATTTATTTCAATCAATTAAGAACTTAAAATAATTAGGATTTAGCTTTATTAATAATTACAGCTCTATAGGAAGAGGTCTTGGCTTTGGTTTGAACCTTAGGAACCTTCATTCCTCTTTATTATTCATGTATGTTGCACACAACTGGGGCCTTTGTGCAAGGTCTTTAGTCTATACTTGCTTTCAACCATTTGGATTTGTATTCTCATTGGAAGTTTGATTTTCCACTTCCATATATGGGATTTTTTAGAATATAAATAAGAAAATTGAGCAGTTTCTTTTCAATTTAAACTTATGAGATAATTGGCCAATAAGTTAACAAATGTCTTATCATTTTTTTGTAGATGAAACTTAACTTTTCATACTAGATTTCTAGAGATATGCTTGCTAATGAATGTAATTTTAAACGTAATATTTTGTATGGAATCTAGGTACGAACCTCCAAATACATGTATTGTTCTTCGTGATGATGGAGATGAAGAGCTTCTTAAGGCCCCTCTAGGGTTCCAAATCGTTGGGAAAATCAATAAACAGAAGGGGATGGAAAATGTATCTTTTTGGCTGCCTCAGGCACCCCCAGGTTTTGTTTCTTTAGGCTGTGTTGCATTTAAGGGCACACCAAAGCAACATGATTTTAGCACATTAAGATGTGTGCGCAGTGATGTGGTAGCTGGGGACCAATTTTCGGACGAAAGTGTGTGGGATACATCTGATGCCAAGCTCAGATCAGAACCATTTAGCATATGGAGTGTCGTAAATGAATTGAACACCTTCATTGTCCGTAGTGGTTTCAAAAAACCACCAAGAAGGTTTGCTTTAAAACTGGCTGATCGACATCTACCAAGTGGTACTGATAGTACAGTCATCGATGCTGAAATTAGAACCTTTTCTGCCTCCCTATTTGATGACTATGGTGGCTTGGTAAGAACTCATCCCAACTATCCACCTTGGTGCTGAATAATATGCTGCCTTCCGTAAAAACTTAATGATCAATTCATTCTTCTTAATATGTCTCTGTTGAAAATAACTGGTGCCTTTGTTAAAAAAAGTTGCCCTATCCTAGGGTGGTTTCTTCCTGTGAGTATACTATTCCTTCCACTAATTTACTTCAAGCTTTTTGACTGATAAAAATGACTACATCCTGGAAATAAAGCTATTTTGCTCATCTCTCCAACTTCAGTTCAAAGTTCGGAGGTATTTCACGAAATGAACTGTCAATATATCAGAAAGCTATTCTCTCTGTTTTTTTTACATAAAATAAAACAGAAAAAGAAACTTCGTCAAAAGAGGGTTTTTAATTTCTCATCTATTCTTAGGAGGATTTTTTACCCTGCAGCATTCTACGTCTTTCTCTTTCTTAATGTATATTTATTGTCTCCTCATGTACAAACTATAGACATCATCCTGGGATAAAATTTCAGAACATGCATGAGTTTGTTCGATTGTATATGTAGGTGAGCATCTCTGCTATGAATTTATAAAGTAAATCACAAAACATGTGTTTCAAAGTACTTAAAGCACTAACATGTGTTTCAAAGTTTTAAAAACGAACTGTGTTACTTATTTTCCTCAGAAGATATCAAAGGACCTAGAAGTCATCATGATATTATTGTTCTCCTTATCTGTTTCAAAATTATAGTTTCTTCAGTATCAACTGAACTTGGTTTTCTGCTTTTACCAACTGTGCTATGTGCCTTCACAAGAAAAGAAAACCATCTAAAGAGAGACTCGTAGCACAACTTTGTCTTTTTCACTTGTTTATTTTCACTTGAAAAGATGATTATATGGAAGGAAAAGTAAGTGGCTAAATGAAGGAATCCGTTGTAGTGCCGACTATTGTTCCCCTATCTGATAGTCATTGATATTTAAATTTCTTTGGTTTTAATGCTTTTTTATGTGGTTTTACATGTATTTGGTTACAGGTGTCGATTATTAATAATGCCATATATGTAATATCCATAATACATGATTTCCTGCTAAAACACAAAGGTGGCCAACTTTTAGATCATTCTGCAAAAAGTTTCTGATTCATTTCCATTTTGGGTGCTTTTCATTTTTGGCATGCTACAACAAGAAAAATGATATTACTTTCTTTGCTCTTTCCAATTATCTAGGTGTCACTTTTTTCAAGGGGATAACATTCTGTGCAAGTTTTTAGTTAACTGCATAACATTGTTTCCTAATTATCTTCCTCAAGTTTCAGTTTAATCTGTTGGAATTGTTTTCTTCTTTACTTCTGGACCTATTCAAGGACATTCTTGATTTTATACTCTTTGATTTCTATGGTTTATGACTGCTTCGTGTATGCTCTTATGTTTTTTGATGAGCGTTCTAGTTTCTTGTATTTTTCGGGCCACCCAATCATCCATTTAGAGATGATAGTTAGCATTTGTTTCATGATCTTTTGTCATATTGTTGTAACTCTGTAAGCTAGTCCTTAATGTTTCTTTCTTTTCTTTTTTTTTTTTTAATCTTCCAGATGGTTCCATTGTTTAATTTATCTTTAAGCAAAATGAGCTTCAGTCTCCATGGACGCACTGATTGCATGAATTCCACTATCAGCTTCTCCTTGGCTGCCAGATCATATAATGATAAGTACGACTCGTGGGAACCTCTTGTCGAGCCAGTAGATGGGTTTCTAAGGTAAGTGCATATTAGTAAATGTACAAGAGCATGAAATGCATAAATGTTGATGGAAGAATGGAATTGTATATTACTAAAGAAAAAAGAGCCCTATATGTACATGATTCTTGGCATTAAAAAGGAAACCCTAATATCAATTACATATGAAGATTTTACTATTATACCTTTACATACTAAATACACGTATGCACTACTTCCAACAATTCCCCTCAACTTAGGGAATAGATATCATCCATTCCTAACTTGGCTGTAATTGACTGAAAGGCTGGATTACTTTGATGCTTGGTGAGCTTGTTCGTAAGTTGTGAGCTGGTAAGCATGTAATGTGCAAATCAAACCACTATCTAATTTTTCCTTGATAAAATGTATATCGACTTCAATATGCTTGATCCGGTTATATGCTGTATTGCATTGCGGGGTGGTGGTGATCACTTGTTATGCTTGGTCTGGTTATATGCTGTATTGCATTATGGGGCGATGTTGATCACTTGTTGTCGTGGTAGCGTCTCATTCGGTCATTCCACTTAATCCTTAGATCTTCCAAAAATTGACTTCAACTATAACAATTTGCAAACCTCTTGGCCCTTTCTAAAAATTTCGATTCAAAACTAGATTGTACCACTACATTATGTTTCTTACTTTTCAATGTGATCAAGTTCCCTCCAAGGAGTGTGTATACTTTGTACTAAATCTTTTATCTATCACTAATCCGGCATTTTTTGTGTTAGTGTAGGCCTTTAGTAACAGTCTGGTATTCTTTCTGAATAAAATGCATTTTGCCGGTATCTCCTTCAAATGCTGTAATATTCAGTATACTGTTTGTAGATGTAGTTCTTTAGGATTGTGCATAAACTGACTGATCACATTTATTGCATATGTAATGGTTAGTCCACTGCAAATAAGTCTTTGCATATTCACTATTTTGGTTCTATTGTATTAGGATATAACCTTGATAACTTGGCTGATTTTGGTTTTATTGTAAATATGCTTATTGATTTGTAAATCTTTTGTACATAGGTGGTGCCCCATTGGCACCAACACATCAATACAGCTCTATGCTTTTATTTCAAAAAGAAAAAATAATTCTCTGCATTTGCCTCTTGTACATCTCCTTGTTTAAGGTGTGTCTTCCTCTGCCAATCCCAACTTGTGGTTAAGATAAATTGATGTGCTAGCATGTTGACATGCCAATTTACTTTTTAAGTAGTTTTGATGAGAAATGAGGATTTTTTGTTTTGATTGAGCTACTTCAATATTGAGGAGATATTTTAGCTTTCCCAACTTAATATCAAATTTCTTAGCTATTTTATATCATTTCCAATTATAATAATTGTTGATAGAGATAAGTTTGAAAAGTTAGGATTTGTTTCTAAAATAGGTAAGTTTGAAATAAATTCCAGATTTCATGAAATTTATTATTAGTTGATTTAATATTTTTTCTCTCTATATAGATGTAATATGTCATAACTACAAAATAAGAGAAATAATTTTTTCCTATTTTTCTTTTTCTATCAATTTTTTCACATAGTATCAGAGCTTAGGGTTTGATCATGAATTACAAAGCAGCTATGGTTAGCTCTGGAACACCACCTCCAGAAGAGACAAGTGATACTACTTTGATAGGGACTGGTTCTCAGTCATCGTCGGTTATCTTCTACATCTTCAGCTGTGTCCCTCATTGAAAAATTCATTACAAATTACCATCCACAAATTGAATGGAAAAAACCTCCTTGAGTGGTCTCAATCAGTGCGGCTGACGATTGATGGAAAAAGAAAATTAGGTTATTTGAATAGTGAGGTCACCAAACCTGATTCAAGTGATCCCAAATAGCAACTATGGCGCTCCGAAAATTCAATGATGATTGCATGGTTAATGAATTCCATGGAACTAGGGATTGGAAACCTTTTATGTTTCTGCCAACAATGAAAAAGGTGTGAGATGCAGTTCACGAGACTTATTCGGATCTAGATAATCATTCACAACTTTTGAGTTGAATACACGAATGTGGAAAATGCAGTAAGGTGATCATGAGGTGACAACCTATTATAATGATATGATGACAGTATAGTAAGAATTGGATATGTTTGAAGATGAATCTTGTAAAACCCTAATGATAATGCTTGATATAGGAAGAAATTGAAAGAAGCCGTATGTTTGTTTTCTTGTCTGGCTTAAATAAAGAATTAGATGAAATTAGAGGTCGCATACTTAGAAGAAATTCCTTCCTAACAATAAAGGAAGTTTTTGCTAGGTATGATGGGAGGAAGCTCGGCGAAGTTGATGCTGAAAAGCAACAATGAGTCTAAAAAAATTGGTGAAGGATCAACACTTATAGCTCGTGGTACAGATTCAGATGCTGAAAGATGTGGGAAAAATAGTGGCCATGGTCTGATCATTGCAAGAGATCTTGGCATACTCGAGAAACTTACTAGAAATCGCATGGAAAACCAGCAAACGTAACAAAAAAACCAAGTAGCAACACCAAGCCAGGGCGAGACAGCAGTGCTCTCCAAGCTGACAGCTCTTATTTGGAGTAAGAATTTTTTCCAAAATTGTTACCTTTAACAGAGGAATAGATAGAGTATCTTTACAAAATGTTTCAAGCTCATTATAGTCCTTGTTCTTTAGTACAGTTAGGTATTCTTTTTCTACAGCGTTTATTTGTTTAAACTCTAACAGCTTTTGGATATTGGATTCGGGAGCCACTGACCATGTGATAGGTTTTTCGCATTTTTTCTCTTCATGCTCACCATGTGTAGGGAACCAAAAGATAAAAATTCCAAATCGTTCCTTTGTCTCAGTTGCTGGAAAAGGGACCGTATCTATCTCTTCTTTGTTAATTCTAGAAAACTTCTTCATATTCCAAAATTGTCATGTAACTTGCTGTCTGTCAGAAAATTAATCGTTGATCATAATTGTCAAATTGAGTTTCGGTTCTCTCATTGTGAATGTTAGGATTTAATCTCGGAGAAGATGATTGTGGGTGTTAGACAAGATGGTGTTTCTCTATGTTCTCAACAACATATCGTTTTTTAAAAAATAAAATAAGGAGCCATGTTTCAATTTTATCTCTATGTCTAGTGACAATAAGATTATGTTATGGCATTATAAATTAGGACATCCAGATTTTTAATATTTAAAATATTTGTCAACAAAATTGTTCATAAATAAAAATATTTTTGATTTTCAATGTGAATTGTATGAATTAACAAAACATCATCGTAATGTTTTTCAGGAACAACTATATAAAAAGTTTGCACTTTTCAGAATGATTCACAATGATGTTTGGGTTCTTCTAGAGTAGTAACTCCTACTAGATAGTGTTGGTTTGTCATATTTATTGATGATCACACTCGATTTACTTGGGTATTTTTGTTAAAAGAAAAATCTGATGTTGAAAAAGTGTTCAAAGGATTTTATAATATGGTTCAAACATAAATTTAAACTCAGATTAAAATTTTCATTAATGATAATGGAAGAGAGTTTTTTAACACTATGTTGAAAAAGTTTTGTTGAAAAAAGGGCGATACATCAAAGTTCCTGCAGCAATATACCCCAACAAAATGGGGTGGCTAAACAGAAAAATAAGACTCTCATTGAAGTAACAAGAGTTAGAAGTTTTCAAATCAAGGTACCTAAATTTTTATGAGGTGAGGCTGTTTTAACAGCCACGTATTTAAGCAATAGGGTACCTATAAAAACCTTAACTTTTCAAACTCCACTTCAGTTTTCTCATATCCCTACCATGTGGTTGCTATTGGATGTTCTCTTAAAAATCTTTAGAAGTGTAGTTTTTGCTGATAATCATGATCCAAAACTGTCCAAACTTGATTCAAAGACACGTAAATGTATTTTGTAGGTTATCCTGCAAGTAAAACAGGATACAAATGTTTTGATTCCATTTCGAAAAAGTTTGTGCCAATAGATGTTTCTTTTTTTTAGAGACAATTTTATAATAATAGTTCTCATCTTCAGATGGAGAACTTTAGTGAAGATGATGTTTTTAAAAAGGATGATGTTTTTTTCAAAGAATGCAATATCTAATTTTGTGTATGAAATTGAACTGAATGAACAAAATTCTAAATTTGCATGAACACAACTCTAACAAAAATAGTAAATAATAGAATTTTAAAAGAAATAATGTGGAGATAAATGAGTTAATTAATGAAAAATATGGAGTCCAATAATAACTAAAGGACAATGCCATCTCAAAATCAACATTCTGGAACAACAGAGATAGATGTAACAAAGTTTTAGTGTCTTGTCTACTCAAAAAAATATCAAGTCGAGAGGAAAAGAGGCACCATTCTTTAGCACTATCGACCTCTACCCTGGGGTCAGATCATGAAATTCATGATAACTCAGTTATCAACTTGATTATAGCAATTTTTTAGGTAATATAGAATTCTATTCTCCTCGTTAACTTGATGTCCCAGTTGCTCTTAGGAAAGGTACTAAAACTTGCACAAAGTATCCTTTATCAAATTTTATATCGTATAAAAAATGTTTCTTCTTCCTATTTTTGCTTTATCTCATGTAAGAATTAAGAAAAAGAATACTGAATATTTTTTTATATTTTATTAAAACAAAAGTAGGGATATATATACATGTAAACGGATTCATATATGGTAATCAGCATAAATTACCCTAATAATTTTCTTCCTAATTAAGCTTATATATTTGCAAATATAGTCATACTATTATGTTAGAAAATACTCTATAATATTTTCACACACCCCCCTCAAGTTAAAGTATAGATATTAATTATGTCTCGTTTGTTTCGAAGGTACTCAATCCATGTCCATTCAGCGGCTTTGTGAATATATCACCAAGTTGTTCTCCTGTTTTCACATAATCAGTAGATATAAAGTTTTTCTAAATCTTTTCTTGGATCAAGTGACAATTAATCTCAATATGTTTTGTTCTCTCATAATACACAAGATTTGAGGTTATATGAAGGGTAGCCTAATCGTCGCACCAAAGTTTTGCAAGAGATGTG